AGCAGAAGGTTACTTTATTTAAAACGATGCAAAAAAAAAGTTACAACCCTAGTAGCACGCTTGTCACAAATCAATTGTAGGAACTTATATACGACTTATTTCAGTCATAAACAAGTTGCTGTAACTTATTGTGATGAAAGTGTGCTACTCGGGAATCCAGTATGGCTTGTCACACTTATGCTACAAGCACTCAAACCTAATCGTTTTATCAATCCACTTCATATCCGACCAGAGACAATAATATGTTGAACACCTTGGACGTGTGTTTTTTTTTTATAAAAAAGTAGCAAAAAAGATTGATTTTATGCCTTATCACGCTTAATTTCACTTGAAGTATGTTAATATGTTAACTACGTGTGTGCTAAATATCGCAGAAATTTACATGATGTTTTCAAACAGTATGTCCTAGTTAAATTGCTTAGCTACGTCAAAGAATAATATGCCTTGTGTGAGTTGTAATAAATATTCAGAAAACTTCTGATGAATTATTTTTTAGATAAGATCAAGTTTAATTTAGACATGTTTCATCTTGAAAAGTCTACAACTGCACTGTCCGGATTGCATAATTGCAAAACTATCATTATTCTACCCGACATAGTATAAGCCAGCTGATGGAGAAAATAATAATCACTAACCACCCGAAAAATATTGTCCATCTCGATTCTGCTTCAGCAGATGCCGTAATCCTTTTTGATATCGGATCCTACAGTTCTTTAGCCGAGTGACAGCCAATGGCAAGCGACGCATAAAACACAAAGACAGCAGAATCTGTTCATTTTCCATCCCACAAGGAAGGGACGGGGAATGGACATCACACCAGAAAGGGCAGCAGACAATTTGATATCTGATATCTGGCACCCAGAAAATATTTGCCAATTCGGAATGTGTATTTTGCACTAAGGAATATGAGGTTCTTCTCACTTTTGGTTTTCCGTTAGCGAGCAGAACCGCGTTGATTCAAATATTCGGTTACGAAGTGAACACGAGGGCATTCGAGGCTACAGCGACGGTACTAAGGTATCTCAGTTATTTAAACGCTCAGAAGAACCCGGCGGAGATAAATGTGTACTCAAGAAGGTGAGGGACAGACGGCACATTCCTCGATGACAAAGAGACCCGTGCGGAAAAGGCAGGAAAAAGATATTGTACCATCCAAAACATCAGCATCGCATCGAATGATTACACTCCCGGAACGGTCTCGAGTCTCAACAGAAGAAAAGCAGATGCAGACACACGTACGGAAACGTATTCAAATTGGATTTGTCTCGCTTCGTTTGTTGGAGAATTTCATTTTGCGTCGAATATTGGATCTCTTAAATCGAAACTTCCCACAGCTAGTCCCCCTTTCCGGTTTGAAAGGGGCTGAGTGGGGTGGATGTGTTGTGTTCAATGCTGATATAGAAGGAGTTTTTGATTCGGAGATGATGATCTGCATACGAATTCATAGAGGCTGCTGTTGTAGATTATGCTTCGCTTGGATAGGCCTATAATTTGTTTGCTTATTTTGTCTTAGATAGGGTTCGTATTACTCATTTTTTAAATTTTTCGAAAATATTTGATTCGTTGAAACCTGCAATAAAAGTTTCTGTACTCACATGTTTTCAATCTCACTCTTTAGTTTTACATTGTGAATAGCTAAAGGTAAATATGAAGACCATTAAATATTGGGGAAATTCCAACACAAAATCTGCATTGTGTTTTTAGCCGTATCTTACGTATCCCTTCTATCATGACACCATATTGTGTTTTCTATCAGAAACAAAAATATATCAAATTTCTCTTAAAACACAGGATATCCCTGACGATGACAATTCGAAGAACATAAGTTTACCTTCAAAAAACTACCAAGAACTGACGACCGGGAAACAAAGATAAATTAACATGGAAACTGAGAACCATTTTCCACCCCTGAGCTCAATTACTGCATACATATTTGAAAGTTTTCCTCCAAAGTCCAAGCATCGACTGAAACTGTTTTAGTTACGATACCAATCAGATATCCCATCGAAAAAGTTATTTCCGTTTCCTCATTCGACGAGCATATTTTGGTTTGCAGTTCGAAAAAGTTGCCCTAGGATGCAAAAACCAATTTGCGACAGTATGACGACGGTAAGAGGAGAAAATTTCGATGCGTGCAGCAATCTGATCCGGGATATGGCTTTAACATGTGTTCACAATGGGTGGCTGGAAATCGGAAGAAGAACTAATCGTATTACGAGCTGGTTTTTCAGAAATTTTGTGTTACAAGATAACGCTCTTTGGCTTAGGTATGTGAAGAAGAGAGGCTGTTCTAATCGTGTTTGTTGGGGAAGATGCAGAGCAGGAGGCATACTTTTTGTTGCCGGAATTTGTGAGCTACTTGTATGAAAATACCCATTCTGAGGATGAAGCAGAAAGCAGTACTCTACGGAGACCCCTTTTAAATAGGAAAATCGACAAGGAGCGCAAATAGAAAGCACCAGATATCTTCTTCGTTTGAACTCATAACGTTCCATCTTGAACTGATGCCTTCTCTCAACTAACTGACGAAAGTTAATAAAGGCTAAGATTAATTTAAATCTTTCTTAACATATGTATGTGCGAATTTGTATATAATGTGGCCAGGGAAGCTGAGAATGTTACCAACCAGAAAATTTCCTCGACCAGAACAATAATCGATCCTGCCTTTACTGACTAGAATATCGAATGGTCAAAAATATCAGGCTTCGATTATCTTTTTTTTTTTATTTTATGATGGAGCTCAAATCAAATGAAAACGCACCTTCTGGTACACATTCGGAGCCAATGACCAGCTAATATATCAAAAATAACCATTTTACTATATATAGGGTAGAGAACTACTTCGGCCTAATCGCCCATTTTGGGCCTATCCAGCAGGAAACTTCAAATAAATCCATGATTTCAGAGTTAACAAGTCAATTATATGTTTGGTACGATACTTTAGTTAATAAGCTACCGAACGAAGTCAATGAGAACGCGTGATATGAAGTTTTGCACCCATTATTCCCAAAAACAAAAGAAGCGCTCCGACCGAATCAATTTTTATCTTCATCCGATAGACCGAAGTGAATTCACTGGCATTTCAATGGCGTTTCAATGAGTTAGGCCGAGTTTAGAATCCGTAGGCCGAGTTTGGCGTCAAGAAGCAGTGTTATACTTTTGACAATATCTCAACGATTGGTTTCTCTTTATCTTACGTGTACGGAAAGGTAAATAAATTTGGAAGCCATCAGTAATAATAACATTCTGTTTGGTGCTAAACTGTGGTAGATTAATAAAAACTAAGTGCGAGTTGTGCTTAATAGGCCGAAAATGGGGTAGTTAACCCTAATATAGTCACACAAATCAAGGCATACTATGATCAAATTTACACAATCAATTTTAAGAATGTTCGGAATCTTTCGGTGCAACTTTAACGCCGCCACTCATCACCACACACGTTAGCGGCACTGGTGGTGTAGTGGTTAGCGTGATTACCTCTCACCCCAGCAGGCCTGGGTTCAATCCCAGTCGGCACCGCCGGGATATTCTAAGGCATAACATCTCTGAAAGCGATCTCCGAAAGCGAACTGTGCGTTTACTTGATTTTGAATAACATTTACTCATTTTTAAAAAGTATCGGGTTTACGAAAATGAATTAAATCCTACGCAGTATTGATATGTTTTCAACAGTGATTTGCTACCTTGATTATACCTATTACTAGTATGCAATGCGTATGAGTAATCTTCACCATTGCTAGTCCAGTTTTGATACATGAATATTCAAAGAATATGTTGTCCCGGGGGAACTGATAGTGAGAGATTGATTTTTTAATTGTTATATTATCAGAGTTGGTTGGAAATGCTAACATGAAGCTTTAGTGTGATGATTTATTAGCTAGAGAATGATCTTTGGAAGAGGGTAGGTGGATAGTTCCGTTAGAGTACGGCAGTATGAAAATTGAATAGAAGTTGAAAATGAGCGAAGGGCCATTAAAGCGACAGTTTACAAGATGGACGCACATTTTTGCCTAGCCCGTACGATGTACGCGGGGACTTGAAGTATGTCTCCAAGTCCACAGGCAAAAATGTGCGTCCATCTTGTAAACTGTCGCTTTAATGGCCCTTCGCTCATTTTCAACTTCTATTCAATTTTCATACTGCCGTACTCTAACGGAACTATCCACCTACCCTCTTCCAAAGATCATTCTCTAGCTAATAAATCATCACACTAAAGCTTCATGTTAGCATTTCCAACCAACTCTGAAAATCGTTAACTTCGCGTATGAAGTAACATAAAAAACACTTTGAATGTTATATTATGTTATTTAGTATTATACATGAAAGGTTCTAGTAACCGATAGGTAGATCAATCAGAGATTTGCAATATAAATGTACAGCTGTCGTGGCGTGCATAAAACTAAAAGGCTTCAATAAAACTTTCATTCACCGTGTTTCTTTTCAATCAATAACGAAAATCGAAATCGAATGACTCACTTTCGCCAGCTTAAATCTTAAAGCGTATTTTAACTCTAACGGGAAATGTGGACTTTCCTTCACTTTCCAAAATGTGGCATTTGGTTGCTGTGGGTTTTCCGAAACACTTCTTCGGTCATAATTTAAAGAAGAGCTCAATGTTGGCGTGACTGGGACTGTAAACATGCCCTTTTTTCATTGATTGCGCCTATCCTCACTGTGTTAGCACAATGTTTATGTGGTTCTGTCACGGAATAGTAAGAAGGAAAGATTCGGGAGGGGGATTTAGATACGAAAATCAACTAGGAAACTATGTGGAAGGAAAACCCGCGAGCGGTAGCAAAGTCAGATGTCAGGAGGAACGATAACGATTTATGGGTTGAGCACTCAAATGGAATGATTTTTCGGGTGGATGATCCATTCGAATCTGACAATGTGATTTGGTGCTAGGAGCACAATTTGCCTCCGATAATTTTCCTTGCAGTTTCAACCCCAATCACAATATCAATCAAGCATCTAAAACTAAATTTGTTTGTTTTGTTTAGCTTTCATTTCAGCGTGCGCTGCTGCAGTCAAAATTACACGTCTAAAAGTGCCATCCACATACCTGTTAGATAAGAATTCCAAGAATCCCGATCCCCTGATATTGGACTGTGAGTACGATGTGGACGAGAAAGAAAAAGGGTTCGTGTTGAAGTGGTTCCTCGACGGACAACCGGTGTATCAGTGGATACCGTCTAAAAATCCCTTCCCATTCGTAAGTTTTTCATCGTAGGCGCAACAACATGTCGGTGATGGGTCAACCCTAATCATATCAAACATTTTCTCTAACAAAATTCATTAGGCAACAGTCGGAAAACATAGATCAAATGTTTGAGGGAAAAGTTTACCCATATTTAGAAGCCCTAAGCTCATCGAAAACAAGTTCTAACATTTTAACGTAAACTTTTCGGAGAATTTCAGCCACCCTTCAAAAACCGCGTCGACACCAGTTACGTCGTGTCACAAGAAAGCCTTCACAAGCACCGGGCAATGGCCATCATCAAGCCACTGGCAAACTTTACCGGAGAGTACGCCTGTATGGTTCAAACGTTCAATTCGATCGACCGAAAGTCCGCCAAGCTGAAAATCATCGGTAAGCTTAAGCACATCTGCAAAAGTACATTGCAACGCATCACATGTTAGTTCTAGCTCACCCACACACGTATTTCCAAACAGGCTTCGTTGCGTATCTTCCGTTGCGAAAAGGTCGAAATGGTTCGGTTAATCTATTTCGTTTCTAATTGATTTCACAGTTCAAGAGTCCAAGTTTGATCTCAACTACTACCTGAACGGGGACGGTTACATCACGGTCGACTGCCACGCACGGGACATTTCACCACAACCGGAGCTGCAGATTCGGTGAGTATTACCCACACCCACGTTCACAGCAACCCCATCGTAGCCGGTCAGGGAGAGACCCACTGCTGTTGTGTATGCAAATGTGGACCGACACAGTTTAACCAAGCGGAAAGAAGGACCTGTTTTGGAAAATGAGCGCAGAAAATTTGATGTCGTGATCCATTAACTTTGCTTCCTATATAGAAACACACGCCCGATGGAACGGCCGAACGGTGCGTTTGAGTTGACGTTGATGGATAAGCGTACGCTTATCTTCGGTGATGGGTTGGAAAATGTAATTTTTTTTAAATTTCATATATATTTTTTTTTCTTCCAAAAGGTTGGCACATGGTGTGATTTAAATTGATGCCGAAAAGAGCTGAAGCATGTTATTGTAATTTCGTGGTTTCAATAATAAACATGGTGCGTAACGAAAATTGATCACGATTGAGCCCTTGGACCGTAAATATTTAAGGCGTATGGTTACATGACTAAAAATGGAAGATACAATTAATAAGCAATATTGGAATAGAACAATATTCGTCCATGGTTGATTGTACCATTTGAAACTGATGAAATTCGAACATCACTTTGAAAGTAATGAGTAATTCCTATTGTAAACTGTTTCGAGAACTTTCCAGAGAAGAAAATATGATATTTCTCTGAAGAATATTCCAAGATTTCACCAAATAGTATTTATAAGTAATTCAGTAAATCATCAAGAATCGTATTGAATAGTAAGAATATCCTCCGTTAAAAATTTATTGGCTTATTGAGGAAATTCGAAGTTTTGCGGGGTTAGAATAATGTGGTGTCGAAACAGCATCTGTAACAAAATTATTCTTCAAATTGTACTATGTTTTCAGTCTTCTTGACTGCCTCTCAGTTCACAATAATTATAATACTTCTGACAAAATTCACATCAGTATCAAATCACATGATAATTTATTTAAAAAAAACATTTATCATATTAAGTGGTCAGAGACAACATTGGTTAACCCCGGCGTGATAAGTCTATGATCGTTGGAGCATCGCCCATTGTTTTTAAAATAGAATACTAACGTTCAGTCCAATTGACATTTTATTTAATCCTTAATTATGGATTAACTAAAATGTCAATCTGACTAGATAGATTTAAGCTAGCATTCTCCTAATCAAACTTAACCATTTTTGCATCGTAGAGCCCGTACTGAAAGCATGAAAAGTGGTTCTACGGTGAGAAAATTTATTGGGCGAATACAATTGGACCTCTCCTGACATAATGTTAGGTTTCTATATTAAAAATAATGAAAAATGTCCCAAAGAGCGATTACACCAGAAGAAGTGGTTGAAATTTGACTGTAGTCAAAATAAATCATACGAGCATGCTTGGCGTACACAGTTTTGGTCACGAAAAGCTCATTTGCTAATAACTTTGCACACAGTTGACGAAAGATAGTTCTTTTTGAAGCAGCATATATAACTGAGTTTAAGCTTGCTATAGATACGTAAAAAAAAACAGTAGATTTTAATTCTAGTTGTTTGAGCAGGTCGAGGCTCACCTAGGTCTTGGTCATGCGGGAACCACAGCACTATCGGGAAACGCAGGTTCAGGGGCAGTCAGCACAGAAATGCGCTACACAATGCTGTTGTCATTAACAGACGCAATATATTTATTGTCGTATGCATCGGTGGCTAGCGATAAACTGATTGTGAGTGGTCACCGCCTGATGGTCAACACCCGATCTACTGCAGCAATGAGAATGTGAGAAAGTCTCCACTCGTTATCAAAAGAAGCATCAGTCCTTAATCTATAATAAAACTAACACCGCACTACAACATCGCCGCCACCTTTGAAATTTACGAATTTCAAATCAAAACAAAAGATCAGTAACTCTAATCCAATTCATATCATTTCTTCAATCCAATTCATTCTTCGACTCTACATCCCTAAACATGTTACACACAGTTGCTGTCTGCTAGTCTAATCCTATTTTATTTAGTGACGATCGTGGTCGTCGGTGGTCCGTTGACCGCAACCGTCATTCAAGGGCTCGTTTTGCTGTTCCAAGCTTTCAGCGTTCGTTGGTTCCGATGGCAGCAGACAAATCTTCGTGGTTGGACGTTTGAAACTGCCCTTGGATGTGCGTACGGTGACTACTCGCACTAGACCGTCTGCTCCAGGATGAACAGCTTCGATTCGGGTGAGAGGCCAGCGGGTTGGATGTTGAAACTCTTCTACGATAATAACGAGTCGGCCGGACTGGATTTCGCTATTCAGCTGACATTTGGTTGTGTCACGTTGGAGTTCCTGGAGATATTCCGTTCTCCAGTGGTGCCAAAACTGTTGGAACAACTGCTGCAGTCGTTGGTAGTGATCCAAATGAGTAATGTGGACGTTGCTAACATCAGGATCGGGTACAGCGAGCGTGCTCGTGCCGATCAGGAAATGAGCCGGTGTAATGACGGTGTAGTCCTCAGGATCCTCTGTCATCGGAACGAGGGGACGGGAGTTCATAGCTGCTTCTATTTCTGCCAATACCGTTGACTTATCCTCGTATGAAAGACGTGAATTGCCTAGTTGGCGGTAAAGCTGCGACTTTGCTACCTTCACGGCAGCTTCCCAGAGCCCGCCGAAGTGTAGTGCTTTCAGCGGGTTCAGATGCCAGGTGATTTGTTCTTCCGCGCAAATTCTCTGTATTTTCTCGACTTCCTTGTGATCAGTCATCCTGCGATACAAGAGGTGTAGTTCGTTACTGGCCCCAATAAAGTTTTTGCCGTTGTCCGAGTGTAAGTGAGTAGGACGGCCGCGCCGGGCAACAAATCGGCGGAGAGCGGTGAGGAAAGCCAGTGTCGAAAGGTCACTCACCAGTTTCAAGTGAACTGCTTTCGTAGTAAAGCAAACGAACAGGGAGATGTACGCTTTCGTCGGTGAGGCTCGTTTGTGTATCGCTTTAAGATAAACGGGCCCAGCGTAGTCCACTCCTGTCACGGCGAAAGGTCTGCCTGGGGTGATCCTGGTAGATGGAAGTTGGACGATCTGCTGACGAGCCGTACGGGATTTGCTCGGGTACATTTTACGCAGTTGCGTACCAGTCGCCTTCCATTGACGGGCCAAAACTCCTCTCGCATTACAGCCAGTGTCAAGCGGCCGCCACCATGAATGAGTTTGTTATGAAAGGATATTGCTATAAGCTTAGCGAGGCGATGTAAGCTGCGAAGTAAGGCTAGGTGTTTGGATTCGTAAGACCGTTCTGCCAATCTAAGTCGCCCTCCCACCCTCAACATACTTTGATTGCTTAGAAATGGGTTCAAAAGCCGAACGGAAGACTGCCTTTTCAGTTGACGTTTCTTCTGGAGATCTCTATATTCCTCTTGGAAACAGTCTGCCTGGGCGTCAAACTAGTTTGGTTTTGGTATGCGAAAGCTGCTCGACGGTTAGTGACATGCTAGGGTTGAGACCAATGAAAACGACAGGACGTGTTCTAGCTTTTGAAAGTGAGTTGTAAGCAAATCTCATGCAATATGCTACTATGCTGGTCAAGCGAGAAAGTTGAGAGTAGAGAGAAAAAATCGGGTTGTACTTGTGGTCAGTTCTGGCTACAGCAGTAATTACAATATTGCGCTCATTATTTGCTTCCGATGTGTCACTCTGCTTGGAAATCGGCCAATTATCTTCAGGACAGGACAGCCAGACCTGTCCTCTCTTCCAGTGCACACTCTGTAGAAAATCTTCAAACTGCATTCCACGGGACAGCAAATCCGCGGGGTTTTGAGAACCTGCTACATGGTTCCATCGTGCGCCGTGCGTGGTTGTTTGAATTTCTGACAAATAGAGTGTCTTCCATGTACTTGGAGGGGATTGTAGCCATTGCAGCGTCACCATAGAATCGGACCAGAAGAAGGAGCCAGTGATGTTTATGTCCAAAGCTTCAATGATTCGGCCATGTAGTTGAGCTGCGATCACTGCTGCACACAATTCGAGTTTAGGAATTGACAACCTTTTAAGGCGTGCCACACGGGTTTATGCAGTCAGCAACTCGATTCTTACATTGCTTTCTGAGTCCAGAGATCGTGCGTAAGTGCAGGCCCCTTAGGCCCCTTCTGATGCATCTGCAAATGTGTGGAGTCTAACTTCAGAGCTCGGCTGGAGTGCGTATCGATCAATCCGAAAGCCGGATAGCTTTGGAAGTTCATGGTAGAATGCATCCCACTTATGTTTCAGAGTTTCCGGTATTTCATCATCCCAGGAACAAGCTGTCAACGAGAGTTCCTGAACAAGAATTTTTCCCCGTACGATTATATGTGCCACTAAACCCAACGGGTTTCCTTGGACAAGACGCATGTGTCCCAGAGATAAATACTCCCCCATGAAGCTATCGTAATTCGTCTTCAACTCAGGTTTGCTGGCGAAACGTCCTTCCAGCATGGTGAACCGCCGAAGAGCTGTTGGTTTGGATTCACCTATCATGTCGCTAAATTGTTCACGCTTGGGGTAACACACCACATAACGTCTTTCCTTGGTTCTGGAAACCGTGGATGCGTAGAAGTTTTCACAAAATTTCTCTTCCATGGAAACAGCAGATCTGGTAGGAAGTTCTTCAACCTTCCAAAACTTCTCCATGCTTTCCTCGAGCGAAGCGGTGGAAACGGTAACGGTCTGGCAGCACACGGAATCCTTGGATGTGGGGACTAGATGTTCACCACCTGCAACGATCCAACCTAACTCGCTATCAACAAGAATGGGAAGAGTCTTCGACAACTGAATTCTGGCAGAGGTTGGGAAGAACTCAAAGAAATGTCGCGATCCCAGTATCAGGTCAACGTCTCCGGAGCGATTGAAGCCTGGATCAGCGAGGAAAATGTCTTTAGGGAGTTTCCAGTGGTCTACTGACACAGTACTGGCGGGAAAACTGGACGTCATTTTGCGAAGGATCAAGAATGACACATTGCGGGCAAAGTTTTCCTTTCGTGAACGTATTTCGGTAACTACGGACTTGGTGTCGTACTCTGGTTGAATTCGAAGGACAGCAGTTAGCATGAAAACGGTAGGAACAGGATCTTGGGTAACATTGACGCACTGAACATCATCCGGTTTGGTAATTGTAGAAGCAGATTGAACTCGGCGCTGGTCGTTGGACTGGGAGCTACTGGACGGTGTTGCAGAGCTGGAATATGCGTTTAATGTGTTGGCTGCAGATTCTTGGCTGGATTGACTTGAATTCCTCGTGAATCCGGATTGCCAAGCATACATGCGAGCGCCCCATTCAGAAATTGAAAAGCTGTACGAATTTTATATTAATTTTCTGATGTCGGATTTTGGTCTTAGAAAGCATTGATGACACTTCTGATTTTTTTTTAAATAATTTTGACTTAAGATAGGCTCACAAGATACCTATGTGCAAGTAAATTGTTGAGAACTTCTAGCTATCAAAGCGATCAATGCTCGAAAACATCAATCATCAATTGGATTTTTGTTTTGTGGTGCAATGTTTTGTGTGAATATTTTTCATACTTAAATTTGCGATTCTGAAAATCATTTATAGCTATCATAAGTAACATAATAGAAACAAATTGCTTCGCCTTTCATGTCCAACTGTGGCGCTAAGAATGACATTTGAAAATAGAAAATTGAAAATGTTCCACTCTCCGTAAAAAGCAACCTCATGCCGTTTCCATACGTTCCCAGTGATAGGTCATAAAATTGATTGTGATAGAAACCAATAAATCCTAATATTTTCATCACATTTCCTTTCTGCCCGGACACGAAAGCTCAGCAACAGAAAGACGCCTTCTTGGTACTATTGTAGGCCTACGCGCGCTGCCATTGAAAGGACAGCCCCATAACGAGCCAAAACCCATATCACGAAAATGCTGTGTGATGATAATTTATTTCCATAACCCGTGAACTGCCCGGACAGGCCAAACCCATGAACCAGGCCCCAAATCAGACTTTCGGTGCGGAGAAAAGAGCGCTTCTCAGCTGTCAACTCCTCCAAATGGAAAAAGACAGAAAATCGATCTAGATAATTGGAACTTCTTCCGCTTGAGGTTAATGTGTTGCTTGCTTCCAAGACTTCTCTTTTTCTCCTCTGGTCCATTCCGTTTCCTTGGTAGCCATCGCCGGTTTTCTCGTGAAATAACAAATAGAAGACAGAAAAACAAACTGATCACAAACATTTCCGTTTCTGTTTTTTTTCTCTTTTCATTCTTCCTTTTCTCATTCCGGCCACGGCAAATGCGCGCATACACACACACGTTTCCGCCCCGGTTTTGGAATCCGCATCTGTTTCCCGCCGCAGAATCAACGATAAAATATTCGAAACGCCACAGCCGAGGTCCGTACAGGGTGAGAATAATTTGTACAACGTGTCCATCAGCTGCAGCATACCGAAGGAGGAGCTCGAAAGTCCCACCACGATCGAGTGCTACCTAACGGTGCCGGAGACCAACTACACCAAGAAGCGTTCGACGATTTATTACGGTAAGTGCCAGACATCACGGAAAGCTTGTTATTGTAAACGACTTTTTTTCCTTCGTTGCCTTCTAGCTTTCCTTTTTACTGTTGAGGTTATTTTTGTGTCTGTATGTTACTATTGCTTTTTTGTTGTCTTGTACTATGGAATTTTTGTTTGGCTTTGTTTATTTGTTTCATTTTGCACGCTTTTCCATTTGTGCAGACGCACAGTGTATAAATTACACTCCAGAGTGAAGATCAGAACCCATCTGACAATTTTAGTCATAGATATCATAATCTTGTATAGCATAATTTAGACTTTTGAAGAAGCTCTGTTTTGATGCTTGCACAGTTTGAGTGTCTTCTTAATTTATGTATATTAAAATACTTCAATACACGATTTTTGGTCAATTTATGTTAAGCAAATACATAGGTAAGGAGTGCGGATGGTAATAAACAAAATAAATTCCTAAGCTAGTTTAATTAGGCTTTCATCTCCAAAGCACTTTATCAACATATATGCGCCAAATTCATTGCTCATGAGTTAAATGAGACTCATGTAAAATAACTTCAACGAGGGTCTCGAACTACTGATTTAAGAGGGGCATGCATTTTTTTCTTACATCACTCAACCGAGATTCTATTACAGATTTGCATGAAATGTATGCGGAAATTGTCAGAATTTGTAACATTTCATCGCATGAACAGATGCTTTAATGTGGTCGTCGGAAGGATTTCAAATAATTTCGAAATTTTAATGTTTGCTGAATTTTTGAACAAATTTTATTCTCCAAATGCAGTGCGGCTTGAAACTACGCGCAGTTAACGCAAACGAACCCAAATGAAACATTTTTTTATTTACTCACGCTTAATCGAATAATCTTTACAGAGCCATGTTATCATTTGCGTAATACATTATTAATGCCTTAAATCTAACATTAATGGATTTTAACCGATAACTCGCGGAAAATGATACAACTATTCCACAAATGGTTTGAATCATACCCAAAACACAGTTAAGCAAAATTATCATACACACTTTAATATGGTTGTAATAAAAAAAAATCATAAACAAATGATAACCCAAATCACCAAACCATTTTTCACAAAAGGTTTGGATAATGTCCGGAAATCGTCGTTAAGCAAAATAGCCATAGCACTTTAAATAGGGGTGCCTTTCCGTTTTTGGCAACTCGTTCTCATCAGCTATTTCTTTCCTCAAATATGTTCTAGTCGCAGACAAACAGAATGCACGTACATTAAAAGTAGTTTCTGTGATATGCAAACAAATAAATTGTATAGAATGCAAAAAATGGCTTATATATCCATAGTAGAGACCATTTACGTGCAAATTTTAATTTATTTTTAAACGAGTTTGTACGAAAGTGATGCTGTGTAATCATAATAATATAAATAATAATAAAACATAAAATAACAACTAAAAGTAAACTTACTGTTTAATCACATCTGTTTGTGTCCTCCGAAAATTGGATGATAACGATCGGTTGACGGCTTAATCAGTAGCAGAGCAAATACTATAAGAGGAAGCATTATCATTTTTCCCGGCATTCGATTGGCGGAAGGCGAGGAGAGCACATCTCCATAAAAGCAGCAGCAGTGCCACACCCGGGCTCATTCAATCGGTAGGCAGCAACCGCTTTGGCCAGCTGAGGGTTTTTCTAGGTTTACCTCACTGTGGCTTTAAGCGATCTGCAATCCCCATCCAGCGGACTCCCAGTATACCCGGACGGTGCCACATATCGTGGGGGATCTGCTCGACAGACGGTGAGCAGTACACTTCGGCCAGCTGAGGGTTTCCTTGAGTTTACCTCACGGCCCCAAAGCGATCTGCAATCACAACCCAGTGGTCATCCGGACAGTACTAGACAGCGGGACACCCAGTAAGGCTCCCTTGGATTCGAAACATCCCACACCTGACACCATGGAACACCATCATTTTGTGAATCACGACAGAGTTGATTTGATATCATAGCATAGCTTAGCTTAGACTGACTGCACATATCAATGGTTGATACTCCGTGATTGATCAGAATCAGTGAAATTGTAAAATGAATCAACTGAATGGGGCTGGGAGTGACCGACCGTTCTCATTGTACAAGTTTCAGTGACTCCATTTTTGTAGATCAATTAAGGCGCCGGCCACATCCTTGCAATCAGGTCGGAGTAGGGAAGGAATATTAGAGTGACCTTTGTTGTGTGTGGGCCGTGTTTACCTCTGCACCCCAACCTAAGACACAGGAAAGGAGATTTTGTTAGTGAGCTGGGTTCGTTGAATCAGGATTCACGTTGATAAATGATGCGACTATGGTTTTAAATGAATCCGTGTTATCATGCATTATACTTGGATTTGTCTGAAGCCTAAACAAAATGGTGGATCGTTATAATATAAATCTGTAGACGTTCCATCATCGAAAAGCTGAAAATAAACTTAGAGCATGAGCATGAGCAAAATTGACCGCCCGTGACTGCCAACACCAAAGAGCTGAAAATCAATTCAAACAAATCAAATCAACAGACAAAACCAGGGTGAAAGCTGTAAGAGTGAATCATTACAGTATAAATCTAATAATTTTCCGTTATGGAAGAGCTGGAAGAAAACTTAAATAATTTAAATCAATAGATCCAGTCTGAAGGAAGGCTGAAAAAAGAGAATAATTATACAGAAATAACCTCATTTTGTAAGCTAGCAAAGTATGTGTATCTTAAGCATCCATCTTGGAGGAGGAAGATATGAAATTACAACTATGTGGAGTTATTGAAAAATAACAGTCTGATGCGCGGAGAGGCTGACAGGATCGGGTCATAACTTTAATTGGAATTTTAGAAAGATTTATCATCATAAAACTATTTTTGAATTAACCTGGAAGAATTCTTGTGAATAATTGTTATACAGATAAATTAAATTCAGCCTGTAGAAAAGCTGAAAATAGGGAATCTTTACAATGTGGATCTAGATGTGCGCATAGGTAGTTGAGGAATTTGTTTACCTTGGATCCTTACTGACAGCTGACAACAATGTGAGTCGTGAAATACGAAGGCGCATCATCAGTGGAAGTCGTGCCTACTACGGGCTCAAGAAGAAACTACGTACAAAAAAGATTCACCCCCGCACCAAATTTACCATGTACAGAACGCTAATAAGACCGGTGGTTCTCTATGGACACGAGACATGGACTATACTCGAGGAGGAACTGCAAGCACTCGGAATTTTCGAGCGACGTGTGCTAAGGACGATCTTTGGCGGTGTGCAGGAGAACGGTGAGTGGCGGCAAAGAATGAACCACGAGCTCGCTGCACTCTACGGCGAACCCAGCATCCAGAAGGTGGCCAAATCCGGAAGGATGTTGTGGGCAGGGCATGTTGCAAAAAAGCCGGACAGCAACCCTGCAAAGTTGGTGTTCGCTACTGATCCGGTTGGCACAAGAATGCGTGGAGCACAGAGACCACGATGGGCGAACCAGGTAGAGCGTGATCTAGCGAGCATTGGGCATGACCGAGGATGGAGAGCGGTAGCCGCAAACCGAGTATTGTGGCGTACTATTGTAGGTCTTATCTTAAATGTGATGTTGTACAAATAAATGTTTATATGTACAATGTGGATCCTACGCTATTCCACTATCTAGAACAATAGATTTAGCTATTTGAACCAAAGCTGGAAAAGAAAGAAAAAATACACAGCAAAAAAATAATTTTGATATCACGTCAAAGTGGATGCACTACAATCATGTCGAAAATATGGTGTAATATTACTTGCTAAAAAGGACAAAATTATCATTAATACAATGCATGAACTGACATTACGCTGCTTTTACTGCATTTGTTTATTTATGTGGTCATAAAAATTACATGAAATTTTCGACATGATTGTTGTGCATCCACTTTGATGTGATATCAAAATTATTGTTTTGCTGTGTATATGAAGCACTTCCATCGTAGTAAAGATATACTACGTACGAAGCCATATAAAACATATGTTAATTAATTCGCACTCGTGACGATTTATATCCTTCTGCAGTTAAACAAAAACTATTGTTTCTGGAAGCAGCCAACAATATCTTCCAAACTACACAGCAAAAAAATAATTTTAATATCACATCAAAGTGGATACACTACAATCATGTCGAAAATTTCATGTAATTTTTATGACCACATAATTAAACAAATGCAGTAAAAGCAGCGTAATGTCAGTTCATGCATTGTATTAATGATAATTTTGTCCTTTTTAGCAAGTAATATTACACCATATTTTCGACATGATTGTAGTGCATCCACTTTGACGTGATATCAAAATTATTTTTTTGCTGTGTAGCTCACGCATACACCCTTTCCAGAACTCATGGAAAAATTCAACTATTGGTTATTATCTGCGCTTTATGCTCTCGCAACCCGACGATGGCGGTTTATTATGTTGTGGGAGAGCTTTGGATTAAACCCATGATATTCTGCTCATTAAGCAAACCCGATCCCTCTACCCGAGCAAAATCCAGCATCAAAATGAGAGCAAATTGAAATCAAGTTTTGATATCAACATCAAACTAAAATCATAATTTGATTTCAGTTTCGCAATTCACAAATTTGATACCAAATTTTGTTTTCATTTTGCTGTACATTTGCTCTTCAAAAATATGTTGTTGCGGGTTTGTTTTCATTGCCTCAGCATAAAATCAAATTGAATACTTGTTTTGTTATCAACAGGAAAAAAATATATCAAATTAAGTTTTCAGTTTGCTCTCACTGATAGCAGAAATAGTTTTCAATGTGATGTCACAGGAAGATTTTTTTGCTCTCAATTTTGAAATTTTAACCGTTAAAACGACCAAAACGACAGCAACCTGAGTAATCATTATCAGCGGAATCACAACATCAAATTTAGATTTCCATTTGATCTCAGACTTTGCTCGAGTAGGGTTATCGAGTATCTCAAAAACCACAACACTCCACGGCAAAATATGTTTAAATGTTTACTTGGTATGTAATGAACAACAGAAACACGTAACAATTCATAT